TAACAAAAATATATTAACCCCATTGATCGTAGTTAAAGTCATTGTTTGGTAGTAACAAAATAACAAAAATACACTAACCTCATTGATCGTAGTTAAAGTCATTGTTTGGTAGTAACAAAATAACAAAAATATACTAACCCCATTGATCGTAGTTAAAGTCATTGTTTGGTAGTAATAAAATAACAAAAATATACTAACCTCATTGATTGTAGTTAAAATCATTGTTTGGTAGTAATAAAATAACAAAAATATACTAACCTCATTGATTGTAGTTAAAGTCATTGTTTGCAAGTAACAAAACAATAAAAACTTATTTACCTAAGTGGTCTTGGTTGAAAGTCATTGTTTGCAAGTAACAAAACAATAAAAACTTATTTACCTAAGTGGTCTTGGTTGAAATCATTGTTTGCTAATGCATCATGATCGAATGTATCTCGACAAAACAGAATCATTGTTTTTCGGCTTGTTAAGCAGATGCCTTGTAAGGCCACCACAAACAGGTTATTGAACCACCGATCACAGCCGTTCAGACGTTTTAGAACAGCCCTATAGCGACAGTACTGGGCGTACGATAGGACTATAATGGATGAATTTTCATTCATGGCGTCATCTGTAAAAAAAAATAATGAAAGAAAATTGCTCTAAAAATATATTCATAAAATGGAATTCAAACACACACGAAATGTATCTTCTAACTTTTTATCAAAGTTAAGCTTTCGCTGTCAGATATCAAGCCGATATTCAAATGACACAAGTGGCTTCTTGAATTACAAATTTTTAAATATCTTTAATATTTTATGACGTTTGTACACTGTTTCAGCGAGTCTTTCAATTGTAAGTACAACAATACTGTTAGTAGTTTTACCTGTCATAGCATGAACAGGGGATTTAGTCTCAAGATTTCCTCTCAAACTAAATAATCACGACTTTGACAAAGCGCCCTCTTCAGGATTTATTTTCCAAAGGCTTCCACTGATTGAATGAAACCATTTCAGTTCTACTAGTGTTTCATGCTGTGATCAATACAAAAATTCCAGCCACTCAGTGGCACAGCAGTATGACTGCGGACTTACAACGCTAGAATCCGGGTTTCTATACCCGTGGTGAGCAGATCACAGATAGCCCGTTGTGTAGCTTTTTGCTTAATTACAAACAAACAAACATTCCTACTCAATTAATTTCATGATGTGATCTATACAAGCATTTCAGTTCTATTAGTTTTAGGATGTGATCAATACAAGCATTTCAGTTCTATTAGTTTTATGATGTGATCAATACAAGCATTTCAGTTCTATTAGTTTTATGATGTGATCAACACAAGCATTTCAGTTCTACTAGTGTTCCATGATGTGATTAACACAAGCATTTCAGTTTCTACTAGTTTTATGATGTGATCAATACAAACATTCCTACTCAATTAATTTCATGATGTGATCAACACAAGCATTTCAGTACTAGTAGTTTTATTATGTGATCAATACAAGCATTTCAGTTCTACTAGTTTTATGATGTGATCGATACAAAAATTCCTACTCAATTAATTTCATGATGTGATCAACACAAGCATTTCAGTACTACTAGTGCTTCGTAATATCATCAACACAAGCATTTCAATTCTACTAGTTTCATGATGTGATCAATACAAGCATTTTAGGTCTACTAGGGTATCATGATCCTTTGTTTGCAGCTGGAATAATGAACAAGAATCTTTTGATTGGTATCTAATATCTGAGTTACTAGTTTATTCATCTCAACCTAAGCACAATGCCTCGGGAGTAGTGTTAACCATTGGTATCATACAACAAAAAAGTCCTACTTTGTGTCAAGGATTCACAAAAAATACGATTATATTAATACCCACCATAAAGCTGATTACATTAATATCCATCATAAAGCTAAATTAAAAAAAAAACCACAACGAGTCGTAAACGTTTACTTATGATGAAGGACACAACAATTTATATATTAATCATGTGTACAAAACAAAAGTTAATAAATCACATGAAAAACGCACATTTCACATATGTGAAGTTATAAGTAAATGAAGTATTAAATAAAGCCAAGTTTATGTCTGTAAATAACCAAAACAACTGTGTTGAAAACAGTCAATCAATTACCACAAAGCAGATGTAGAGGAATTAATGAAGAACGCTTAAATTATTAATGTTCCTTCTTTACTTCGTTCTCTATACATCCTATATCGTATTGTTTATCCTATACCGTATTGTTTATCCTATACCGTACTGTTTATCCTATACCGTATTGTTTATCCTATATCGTACTGTTTATCCTATACCGTATTGTTTACAATTTAAATTGGACGTGGAAATTGCAAGAATTTGTATTGATTTTCTTTTTATTATTTCTACGGGCCATGTACGTTCTAGCCAAGAAACCAATGATATACAGAACAAGAACGTGACAATACAGTATTGTTTTTCCCACGAGCACCGTGACACTGACTAATGAGCTGCACGTGATAGATCAAGATGAAATGTAGATAAAAGTAATGTAAAGAATATCAAGTATTCATCAGTATTCTTCAATACCATATTTAGTGGTAACAATGATCTTTCAATTTCTGCAGTATCAGAGTTCCAGGAACTGACGTTTTCGTGTTGTTATGTAGGTTGCTTCACAACGACAGTTTCCTAGGAACAATTCAAGAGAAAGTTTGCTGACAACCACGATACAATCACGTATTGCTACAGTTTCTACTGACAACAGCATTCTTCAAAGGTCCGCCATTTTTTTATAAGTTCTCTACCTGTGTAACTTAAGTTTGGCAATGGTTCTGAGAAAAGAGTTTTAAAAGCAATGTTGCCTTGAAACATTAACAAAATAATTGGGAAGGTAAAACCAAGTGAGCGTGACGATAAACGTAAATTAAAGCATTTATTATGAACTACCTTTAATACGTAGAGCCACACACATCCAGAAACTAAACATTCTAGATGATGGAGAACATGTCGGGTCTCATTGGGCCAGAACGTCATGGTAACTATAGATGAAACAAAACTTGGTAGTCAAACTTCAATGTCATAATATACATTATTGAACCAAAGCTTCATGGTTAGTGTACATGAAACAAAACTTGGTAGTCAAAATTCAATGTCATATTATGCATTATTGAACCAAAACTTCATGGTTAGTGTAGATGAAACAAAACTTGGTAGTCAAGAATACAATGTTTTAGTATAAATTATTGGACCAAAACTCCATGGTTAGTGTAGATGAAACAAAACTTGGTATTCAAGAAAACAATGTTTCAACGTACATTGTTGGACCAAAACTCCATGGTTAGTGTAGATGAAACAAAATTTGGTATTCTTAAAAGAGAATAAAACTAAAACCGAAATCAAACCCAAGTCATCCAGTTGATAATGGCGCCGAATAGGGTTCGGTATTTTAAAAATGTAAGTATCTCTTATTTCATTTTCTGTTGGAAAATTTCAATTTCTCTATCTCAGTTGATAATTTAACATGAATGTTTGTTTAGCAAACGTTTATATGAGAGTCGTGGTTGTGAAGAACT